TGGTTTTGCTAATCTTGATTTTTGGAATCTGAGTTTTAGAGTCACTTCCTATGGCTGTTGTGATGCTGCACACCTGTGTGATTTCATAAATTAGTGCCAGCGTCAGCCTCCCATGGCCTTAATTTTTGTTGTAGACCAGCTGGGCTTGTGTCTTCAGCAGTGTCTCTACTGACTTGACTTGTTGCAAGTGTGAATTTGACTTGATGGGTTTTTAATGGCTCATCTTATTAAAGATTGTCTTCATTACATGACAGATTTTAAAATGAATATCCATCTCACTGTTAACCTCTGGGAATGTATGGCTTCTCAGGATTGAGAGGAATCTTTGGCTTACTTGACCGCAGTCTTATATCTTTCTTTGGGGAAAGTGGCTGTGTGGTGCTGCAAATAAACTGGTTTTCCTTCTGACTTTCCAGGCAAGCGGGCTTTCCAAAAACATATGCTTTTGATCGTCATTCCAAGTGAAATGTCATTAGGAAATACTTTTGTAGAATTTGTGTATGGATAATTGCTATATAAAATTGCTGATCTAGCCAAGAGGGAAGGGGGGACAAATCCCCATACTACCACCACATGTTAAAATGAGGCCATCTGGCCATCTGCTGCAATGTCTGAGTTTCCTCCCCTACCATATGTGCATGCATACACAGACAAGCTTGGATGTGCTCTTAGTAGGGTCCCTGGAGGCAGCTCAGCTCTCTTCTCGCCATATGCAAAACTTTATTGACCCAAAGGAGAGGGTTAGATTTCAGGTTTCTTCACACCCACTTCCATGGGGGTTGGGATTGTATTCTTCAAACTTTGCGGTTCTTGTTAACTTATAGAATAGCTGCATTTTGTTAAAGCCTGATGCATTTTAGTCGAATGATACAGGGAGTCTTGCTTTGTTGCTGGTTCTTTTGAGTGTTTCACTTTTCAGTAAAGCATATTTGCATAATATAGTAAATACCAAGTTGTCTCATCTGTCTAGCTATCACTGCATTGTTGTTCTCTGAATTAATTTTCTAGTACAGCCTCCAAGGATGGGATTTGTTTTCTGTGTTTTGCTAATACTTTAAAAGTCTGTTTTCTAAAGGGGAAGCTTAATCACATCCCTGGTGTCTGTGTGTGAACCCATCCCATCACTGCCAACAGGGCAGTGACCCTGGTGACCAGAAGTCCAATTGCAGTTCTCAGAGCTATGAGGTCTCCTATCTTGCTCCTCCTTCTTCAATGAGACTTTGAAATGTTTTTCAAAGGATTTTTGCTATTTTCTGGGTTTATTAATTTTATTTATTACTGATTTCAATCTCTTGCGCAAATATAAAATGCTGCTAGAGGCAAAGCTGTTTGCAAAATAGTCTTAATTTTTACAGGGTTCTTTCCCTGCTTCATTGTCATTTGAATTGAAATTTTAAAAAAGTCTCTCCATTGTGAGTGTATTGGGTTTACTTGGAGTGTAACAGAAGACAGAATCTATTGGAAAGATTTTTTATTTTTTTTTTTTAAAGACTACAGCAAGGCAAAAGCCTGATCGTTAGTCCTAGGAGAGAAGAGGAATACAGTAGAAAAGAATAGCCACTTCCAGCTGTTCATGTGAACTGTTGCTATTTCCCTGAAGTTCAAAAGGCACAATGCTGATACTCGGTGAATTGCATCAGGCTATATACCCGACTCTATTTTTCATTGCAGTTGGGCTGATTTACGCAAAGGAAGGTTATTGAAACAATATTGATAGGAGAACAAATGAGAGAGTCAAGGCACTGGACCCAAAACATGAATAGACCACCATTGATGCTTCTAGGTTCCTTAAAGATTTAACTTTGGGCCTCTACTGGACAGGGAAGCTATTTTGCGTGTTAGTTTTTCTTGCTTTAATGGAAGTGAGAATATATACGCATATGGACCTGTCTGAAATCCAGCGTGGATTTATCATATACTTACCAGTTCAGTAGCCAGTGTTCAAGCATACATTACTGTGAGCTGAGGAAAAGGGAAATGAATATGAACTTTGCTAGCTGAGAAGTTGTTTACTGTTAAAGATGCTGTTGGGGATTCAGAAAACATGGATTCAGTTTCTGATCTATCTGCAATTCCCGCTTCACATGTAGCACATCATTTCAGTGGAGCTAGAGCTGAAGGTGCTTGGGTACAATTGTGGTGGAGTATTTTCACTGAAAGCTTTTTGCTGTGACAACAGTATAGCGTTAGAAGTCCTGTAGTTCTCAGTGGGTTACTAATGTGGTCTGGGCTAAGAGAATCCTCTTTTCCCAGAGGGTATTGGCAGAACATTCAGATTTGGAGAGCTGCTAATATTGTGACAAAAGTACAACTGCCAATTCCCAGGCCATAAAGCAGCATCAGACACTGTGAGGCAGTGATAAAAGAGAGGATGTGGAAAGCTCCACTAGAAAGAGAGGGCTGAAATTTGGCCTTTCCATTCCTGGTAGCATGTGGAATATTTCTTTCTCTACAACTTATAAAATATTGATTCTCCATTTCCCCTCAATTCTAATATCTCATACGACAGTGGAGAACAGCTTTCTAATTCTCTGTCATGCAAAACCAAGAAAAATAATAACCAGGCCTTTTAAATTTCTTGTTCATTTTCTCTAGGTGATCAGGTTTGTCAGCCTGCTTGACTTCTGGAGCCTCAGCCTGGACTCAGTTTCCTAACAGAGCGGTAGTGAGAGCTATTTTGAATGTTTCAGGAATAAGAGCGCTGTTTATATTCCCAGGCTGCTGCTGTTTGTTTTTCTTTTTTCCTAGTAGTATGACATTACTGGCTTATAGTTAGCTTGTATTTGTCTAATTCTCAGGCATTCTCCTGCAGTCTGTGTTGTGTATTTGTGAATTTGCACCTACATTTCTCAAGTGCAGGAATTGTATTTGGGTTCACTGAATTGCATTGTGTTCTTTCGAGGCTCTCTCTCTGTCTCTACAAATTCTAGGCCTGCTCTCCTACATGCTCCTGCTTCTCCTAGTCTAATGTAATGTGCTGATTTTAATAGGTCCATTCTCTCTCAAAGCTCTGAAATCCAGCAACGCTCGGTATTTTCATTAGGTCATAGGCGATTCCACTTGATGCATTCTTTCAAACTAACACTGAGCAATTAGTAAATGCTCTCTTGTATGATGGTTATTATTTTAATATACAGAAGTCCGTGGCTATAATATTATGTAGACATAAAAGGACATCCCTTAAGGAGGGGAATGATTTGTCAGACTGTACTGAGCAATTAGATTGGCTTGATGTGGTTTCTGTTCAGCAAATATGCTGTTACTCACCTTGCTCTGCTAAAAAAATTTCTACTTGAATATTTCTGGGAAGATTGGCCTGTTATTTTCCGGGTTTTCCTTTTTCTCCTTGGTGGTATATTGCCATTTTCATCTTCTGACCTTAGTGATTTTCAGAGGTACCTATAAATGTGTTTGTGAGCGTTTCTGATGCTTCTTGAAATGCCTGAGAGTATTTCAAGGGTAACAGTTTTCACTGCAGCAGTATTGCAGACTCCCCTTCCTGCTCTTGCTCAGCTGGGCTGATCCTGCTGGGCACACACTGACTCGTCCCCCTGAGCAGGAGACACCTGACTGCTCCGATGGCTGCTTATTCATGTGGTCTCTGACAAATGTAAAATCCAAATGTAAGTGGCTGAAGCACAATGTTGCTTAGTCAACGGTTGCTTAGTTGCCTGATTAACAGGAGGCTAAAGGCTGTGGGTAGTCCTAAAGAGATACCAATGCAATAAAAAGCACCAGAGATAAATGGAATACATGTATGTTCTTTACTAAAAGTTTTGTGTAAACATCAGCATACTAAAAATCAAAGCAAAAGAGATGACTACAGACTGTGTTGTTATCACATAGCAAGAAACAGCATGTCCAAACATTTTTCTTTCTGATGTCAACCATGTAATAAATGAAAGGCCTGTGTTAAGCCTGTTTTAGGACTGGTGTTAAAATTATGGGAGAGTTTAGGGTAAAATCTGATAGGAGGATATGAATTTCTTAAGAGGAGCATCAGGAGACACTCTGTCAACTTTGCTGAGATTTATCCAGGATCTTAAATATGATCCAAGCAATGAAAACGTGTTCTTATTGCATCATTACAAGAAATGTCAACAGTGTTCCAGTAGTAGCAGTGGAAGCTGTTAGAGCAGCTTTACAGCTATAACCTTTGAGTATTGTCTGTTTGCGGAGGTATATGGGTTGGATTTATAAGCTTTCTTCCGACAACTTTGTTGAATGTCACCTAGTTAAAAAGATTAATGAGCAGAAAATTCTAAGCCACATTTGCAAGTGATTGTGATATCACGGAATGTAGCATACTCTACTTTGAATTCACAGTTTGGTTTTTTTTTTAAAGATACTTGTTTATAATGAATGACATGGCCTATGCATTTAGTGGTAACTTAGAAAAATGCTACAGTATGCATCTGTGTTTTGGCTGGCTTCCATATCTGCGTGACAAAGAAGCTGGGATTATTCTGATGGAGGGTCCCTCACCGTGAACTCTGTGTAGTGTAATAACTAGATGTCTCGACTTTATAAAGCAGTATACCACAAGAGGGAGTAGACAGCTGTTTTTAAGTAATGCTGCTACACACAATCCAGATTGCAATGCTAAGGATGTGTAACTCTTATCAAATGAAGAAAGACTTTGATTATTTTCTGTAATCTTAGTAATGCATTTCTATCATAAGGTAAAATACAAATCTCTTTTTCATCAGAGGTCTACTTAATTTACTTTTTTAAACCACAGATAGAAAGTTAGTGGAAGGCCATGAATCCCTGTCAGGTTAAAAGCCAAGCAGGTTGAAAGGATGTCCAAAAATACACAGAAACTCTTGTTACAGATACTTAAGAGTAGAGACTTGCCTGGCAGATATGAAGAGACTTCAGGTTTGCCATGTTATAGGTAAGAGAAAGACTCACTTTCAGGGAAAAAAAAAAAAAATCACATTTGCCTTCTATTTATTAGACTTCCCCCTCCACCTCCCCAATAGCAGACTGAAGTAAGCAGGGTCTGGTCCCGGTGCCTTACCCTGTTCTAGGCAGGTCTCCAAGAGCTGCAGGAAGACACAGCTATGAAAGCATGTCCTATTCTGCATAAATAAACCTCTGTGCTTTCTTTTTTATTTTCCTGCCAATAAAACTGACTGGTACATTTCTATGTGGGGTTTTCATTTCTGGCCCCATATCATCTATTAGTTTTGTGCCTCTTATTGCAGGATACTTTGCATACCACAAAACTGTTTACACTAGTACTTTATACAGAGGAATAGATCTGTCTGTAAAATATAGTCTACATTCTGGCAGTGCCTGCTAGCAGTTCTGTAATGCACAATTGTGAAATTTTGTTGTTTTGGGTATAGTACACCAAGAATATTGAAAATCTTGCTGAATTGCAAAAGAATTCTGTTATTTTAGCAAAATACATATTTACTCTCATCTACTTGGCAAAAAATACATACTTACCTTATCTCATCATGTGCATATGACTCAGTAATGGTATAATTTATACAGCAGTAAGAACCATATAATTACTTCCCATCTAAGTATTAATTATAATTGTGTCAATCTTTGGAGTGTTGAATGATGATTACAGTTGAAAATTATTTAGTATTTACAGAAAATCTAAGTGCAATTTTAATAATTTGAATGATACTTCCTTTTAAACAGAGTTATATATTTACTATACTCATTTTTACATAACTTTCAGTGGGGGTAGTAAACTGAAGTCCATTTTATCAGCATAATTTTTTTTTTTTTCAGTGAAAATACCTCTAAGAGGTTTAGTGGAGAAGACCCTCTCCACTAACTGCTAACTAGTACTGGTTGAAGCTGTAGGTTAGTCCTTGTGTGGAGATAGGGTGCTTCTGTACCATGCAAGATTAAACTCTCACCTCTTCAGTTTACCTCTGCTGTTTCTGCTAGTGTGCATCTCCAACTTGTATGCATTTATCATATGAACGTGTGAGAAGTCCAGGTCTATGAACACAGACTAGATTTGTGAGTAGCAAAATTTCAGTGAAAAGGATCATGCCTAATAAAAGAGGTTTCTGCACAAAGTAAGGTTCTCTGTTACTGTGCATGCCAAGTCCAGCATCTATTATTTACATCACACTAATGCAACCACTAGAGGTCAAGGTCCTTTGTGACACTACAGGCTCTTTACTGAAGAAAGAGACCAGTTAGTGCCTGAAAATGCCATCACGATTGGAAACTGGCATGAAGCATCTTCTGGGCTTCCAGACACTGCCCTGCCTTTGGCTAGAGCAAGTCCCCGGGAAGGGCATGCAGCTGCCAGGCCTGCACACAGCTGTAGTACAGCTTCCATAGGTAAAGCCAATTGGTCTTTGGGGATCCACTGCCACCTCTCCATCGCTTGCTGCTGGTTTCTTTTGAGGAAGACTTACAGCAGGCTTTGCAGTGGTCTGGAAAGTCTGGTACTGGCCAGGCTTTCTAAAGGAAAAATGTGACTATCAAAGTATTACTCTTTTTCTTTTACTCCTATATGGTACTGACAGTCATGTTTTGCAGGCAGTGTTCTGTCTCTGTCTACTGAAATATATATTTAGACAAAGAATTATTTAAAAAATGCTTTGTTGCCAAGACACTGAATGAAATGTACTAGTGACACCTACAAAGACAACAAAATGCTCTTCTTTTTCCTTCTGCTCTAAAACATGCAAAGTATCATAAAATCAACAAGTAAGCTTGACTGGATAACATGTATCTACATTAAGAGCCGCTGATTTCAATGTGTTTTGAAACGCTTCAAAAAGGTCAGATGCACTGCTTGTCACTGCTGCTCTTCTATGCTGTGTGATGTCATGGAACACTTTGAAGCACAAAGAGAGAAGTCGGTAAACTTTCAAAATTCACTGTAAAAAAATCCCATTGCATCCCTGTTTAAAGATATAAAATAGGTAAAACTTTCAGAGGTTTTATTCTTCCATTTAAATGTTTTTGTTGGTTTGAGTTCTTTAAAAGAATTGAAGGGGAGAGCCACTTATTCACATGATTTGGTTCAGAAGGCTCTGATAGTCAGTGGAAGAATTTTTCAGTACTTCCATTGGAACAAGTGGGATGGGGATATTCTGTTCACACACCACTGTCTCATACAGGGGAGCAGCCTCCAGTGTGAGAGATGACAAAGAGATGGATGAAATAGGCTGCTCCAAGTCCTGCAGCCTGACTGCATAATTTGCAGCCTGTCCTGTAGTCCCAGATGCTGCTTCCTCTTCCAGGCTAATGTTTATTGATATTTCATTTCTTTCACAAGGGTCCGTAAGAGAATATGGGGGGGGATCGTCTGTGGGAATATATATTTGTGTTGCTCCTGGCCCCACGCATTCATCGTAGCTGAAAAAGAAAGAAATAATTTTTCATTAGATTCCTGTGGAAAAAAAAAAATGGCACAGTACATTATTTTCAGCGTAACAGGGGCAGGTTAAAGTGAGAAGAAAAGGATCGTCTGCTGTTTTGTTCCTCAGCCCACATCCTTGCTTACCCTGCCATGTGAGACACTTGAGAGCATAATACTTAAAAGCACATCTCTGAATACCTAAAGATAATCCCAGAGGTCTCAGTGAAAGTTCAGACCCCATCCTTCTGCATGAAAGTAACATCTGTGGCAGCACTGCTCAGCTGAAGTACCTGGGGATAAGCCCAGCTCCTTACAGCGGTTACACAGGAGCAGGAGTAACTGCTGGCTCACACAGAGCTGTGCACGCTGCACCCGTCGCCATAGGTGTAGCACAGCGGGGGTTCGTTCCTGCTTGTAAGTAGTGAAGTTAGAAAATGGCTGGGGAAAAAAAAAGGAAGTGGTGTCGCTATTTTACAGTTCTGAATAAGGTATAGAGAGCTTTAGATGGAGTCTAGAGTAGAGTATCACATCAAATGCTGTCCTCCTGACTCCCAGGTCTCTGGTGCTCAGCCAGCAGTTACATGCAGTGGGTAGTCTGGGTTGCAGATCTGTGCTGGCAGAGGCTGCAGGATTTCTTGCTGAGGTGCAGAGCTGTGATGAATGATCTTGACAGACTCATGCTGGCCATTCTGAGACTCAGCAGACTCCCTGCCACCTCCTCCTAAAAAGGAGGAATGCCAGACAGACCGATTTGTGGTACTTCTGTGAGGAGCCAGCTCAGGTCTGTCCAGGCATTATAGCTCTGTCTGTGCCACCAGGCCAGGGCAAGCCATCACCTCCTTACTCCACTACTGTGCTCAGTGCTTGCTGTCCCGGTGTGAATGCAGACAAGCCACCCCGGCTTGGAGCTTGGACTGCACAGCCTTGGGAGGCCCACGAGGAGTAAATAATGAGCCTGGATAGACCAGTGTGTCTTTGTGCTTGTGTTTTCTCATGTTCTGTGCTGCAGGAAGGGGATGGGAACTGACAGGAGTGGACATGAGCAGGCTCTGTGCGTGTGTATAGTGCTGCGCAGGCACTGCTCAGCCCTCTGAGCCGAAGGACTCTGCAGAGATTGCATTGTGGCCCAGAACTGGTGAATCTGGTCTGTTATCTGGGTGGTCTGCTGTCTGACTACTGGAGTGTGATCACCTCTTTGTCCACAAACTAAAGCTGATTCCACTTTTGCTATCAAACCAGCCCAGGTCTAGTGGTCTAAGGAAGGTCCCGTTTTCCTGGTTCACTGGCTACAGGCAAAAGAGAGGAAGAGTCGTAACATGATCCTAAATGTTGGACCTGTTTTGTTTGTGGCTGCCTTGTTTAGCAGGATCATTTTAAATCCAATTCTGAAGGAGAGAATGTTTCCTGTAAAAACCTCCACCTCCTCGGTTAGCCCGAAAACCAATTCTGCTGGAGCCAGACAAATTAAGAACCCATTTCCTCAACCACACTAACCACAGAGCTATTAAGATCTGGGATGTTTCCTGAAATTTAGGATATTCAGCATATGTCTTCCCAGTAGACTTCAGGCCATCATTCTGCTCCCTGTAACTGCATTACTGCCAGGCTAAACCCAAGCTAATAAACCTGATTGTAGGTGGCTTGCAGCAGGGCAGCTTGCATTGGTTAGAGCGAGTTCAAATCTACTGCAATCAACCATGGAGGCCCTGCCCTAGAGAAGGACTTGGTTCTACTGCACTCATTCATACCTTTCCCCCAGAGCCCTACTGATGATATTGATGGTATTTTTTCCAGTCCAGGTGATGGAAATGTTTTTTGGGGAAGGGAAAGGTAAGAATGTGAAATCTTAGTACTAGGTTACTAAATAACTCAAATATTCACAGGTGGTTTTATTTTTAGCTCCCTTTTATCTTATTATTATATTCATGAGGAGAATGGTTTTAAATTTGAATTTAGAAAATTTTGATTTCCCCATCAGAAAGAATGGTATATGAAAACATAACTGTGTTCTGAAGATCTTGAGTAGGGATCTTCAGAACGTAAGTACTTCAGAAACAAGTCCTAGCCCATAAGAGGTTGAATTGTTTTGTATAGCATGTGGAAAAGATTTCAGTTCAGCCTCTACTAAGACCACTGAAGCTTTCAAGCATACCTGGTATTCTTTTAAAAGATCTTAGTTCTCAGTCAGAACGAGGACCTGATGTCCCCAACTCATGAACTTCATGAACTCAGTGAGTGTAAAGGAAGAGCCACTTTTTGCAGGATTACTTACTATGAGCTGCATCTTTACCTAATTTACATTTTGCTGACCCAAAGCCCAGTGAATTTATGTAAAATCTTTCCACACATTTTGACTGACTTAATCAGGCTAATGAAGAGCACCTACTGGGTCCTGTTACCATAGTAAAAGAGTTTCAGTTTTGAGAAGCCCACAGTGGTGTGAGTTTCAAGGTGGAAAATTTTCAATCCTTTTGCTGAGACACAAAAGGGAAGAGGCTTCTCTGTCCTGATTCTGGGCCTGGGCCCAATGCAAGGGAAAACTGCCACTGACCTAAAGCAGAAACGGGCACAGTATGAACCCTCTACTTACTGTTGTTCTCTGATCATCTACATTTCTTTCCCTTGGATTTAATTTAATATCTTTCACGGTCCGTAGCTCAGCTCCGTAGAACTAAAATGCTTCTTAGGATAAGCAGTAAAATGATCTGTTGTTAAGGAGACTTTTAAGCATCAAGATAAATGGGTACTGGATTACAGTATACAAGACCTGGCATTTTAGTGTTTTGTTCCAAATATCAATATATTAGTGTTAGGGCACTTTTTCTTCATATATATATAATGGATGAAAAACAATTATTTTTCTCCAAACTCCAATGCAAGTAATATTCCACCCCCCTTTTGGCAATTAAGTTCACGTTTTAAAATTTGTAAGTAAGAGCAGTAAGGAACACATGCTAGATTTTACATTAAATAACTTTTGGCACCTTCACAGCTGCATCTACCATTGTGGCCAAGGAAGCAACTAAAAATTACTCAAATAGCTTTTTTTTTAAAAAAAATAACTTATTGTACTTCATTAGCAAGTTATGATCTTGATATTTAGTTTCCCATATTATCTTCTAAACATGGTATCTTTGCTTGCAATGCTGACATTGCAAGCAGCTATTGCTATGATACTATGATATGTAGTGGAGGCTACAGATAAGGTTCCTATCACTTTCTGTTGAGGATAGAAGAGAGATGAATTAAGGTCATAAAATCAACTTTAACTTTGTATCTTCTTCCCTAGCTCCCAAATGTTTTGTGGGTTTTTTTTTGGTTTTTCTTAGGTTTTGTTTTTCCTTCTGCTGTTTAACAGCCTCGGTAATTTGGTTTTGCTTTGAGTGCTGTTATGGAGGTATTCCTGTAGTATAACTAATGGATATCAGTGCTACAAGCATGAATTTTATTTTGCAGTCTCTCTTTCAAAGAGATCATAATATGTAAACTTATACATCTAGTCTTTGCTGGATCTTTTTTTTTAATTAGAGGATTCTAAGCAACTATTTTAAGAAGTAACACACAGTTTGAGAGGCACCCACTGTCCATGTATTGTTGGTGGTTGGAAAATCAAATGGAGAACCCAATTAAAAAAAAAAAAAAAAAGATTTAAAGGATTACTTGTAAAAAATTGTAATAGCAATAATTTCTTGCAGTTGATTACCATGTATTGATATGAGTGATACTGGACTAAATACTTAACGTCTTAAAATAAAGCTTCATGTTTGAGAAGTGAATGGATTCTTGCATTTTACTGCAGTGAGGTGTGTAATAATGAATTGCATGGTATTGCTGAGTTGTCCTGCAGTGTGAGGTGTGAGGTCTGCATCTTTGACACAGCTTTTAGGTTTCTTTCTTTTTACTTGCAAACTGCACAAACTAGAATAGAATGAAGGAACTGCTTTCTCATCAGCTAGTATGGAGAGCTCAATACCAGAGGGGCTGAGGTACTATGTAATGTTAGCTACCACTAAAAAGAACCAGTGCATCTATAACAATCAGTAATGATGATTCCTAATATTAAAATTATGCTGTTACATGCAAGTCACTCAGTTATGCTAACTAATGCTGTTGATTCAATCTGAGAAGGCGGCAGCTGCGATGTGTAAAGTGGTGGTTTCAGCATGATCCAATGTCCATGTCACTGAAAGGAAGTGTCCCTGCCCTGCTGCATACTCCCACTGTTTCCTTGCACTACTTCCTCCCGACCACGATCCCCAATCTGGAGCTAAACAGGCAAAAAGGTTGTGTGCATGTGGTTTGGTTTTGTGGGTGGGTGGGTTTTTTAGATTGTTTTGTTGGTTTTTCTTTTTTTTTTTTCTGTGTATTTTTTTCTCTGCGCTGGATTTCTACCCATCTAGCTACCAGAGTTGGAAGCTCAAGTCAGATGGGCATCAATGCAACACAAGGGAAGCAGAAGTATAAAAGATGGAGGAAGTGGGTACATCTTAGACCACAGCTCACAGGTGGAACTTCTTAGCCATATCATAAAAGTGCAACCTCAGTAACTGCTAAGGGAATGACACCTACATATATATCTGTGTGTATATATATATATATATATATATGTTTTGCAACTGAAAATGCAAGAGCATAGAGCTTGCATGACTTAAGTGGAAAACCAGAAATACTTGCTAGTCTCTTGCAAAAAATAAGTTACGTTTAATCTGAGAGATTCAGTTCTGTGAAGTTATTACACATGTAAAAAGTAGCTGATGCTTGAAGTTCAGTATGGCAGTCACAGAAAGATCCTTATAGACAAGAAAGCAAATGCTTTTGAAAAGTATTATGTTACCGTAACCTAATAATGGACCACAGGAACTCATTACACTGAATCTCGTGATTATCATGCGTCTCTTTTTCAGTCCTGAAAAAAGCCTTGGTTACAGCACTTGTGGTTAATACACTTTAATCCATTTATTTTTTTAAAATTGTATTATCTTAAGGTTCAGTGTAT